GAGAGGAAAGAAACCATCAGTAATCACAAGTAACAGCTTTTTACTCAACCACTGAATCCTGGGTAACAATGTGCAATGCATTGTAGGATGTGTAGTTCTTTAACCATTAACACAATTATGTACATAGTCTTTTACTCTTGATTTCTTCTCCCCCCCCACAGTTTTCCCTTTATGGCCACAATTCCTCTTAGCTGTTTGGCTTTGTTCAAGGTCTCAAACTCTCGGATTTCCTGAAGTGTCAGTGGGAAAAATGAAGGAGAAATTCCCTTTTAAAGACAGTCTCCTTACAAAATATAAAAAATAAATAAAATAAAATCTCCGTTTTCGGTGATTCCAAACGCCGTTTACTTGTGGACGGAACAGCTGCGTTTTCAAAAATAACTGTGTAGGTGTGGACGTAGCATAAACGAGTTAGTAGTTTATTTCCTTACTACCTCTAATTTTTTTACTTGTATTTGCTTAACTGTTTACTAGATGTTTGAGGTGTGGAATAAACTGCAATGGAGCAAAATATGGGTGTGTGTGGTTGGAGGATGAGTACGTGCGGGGGAGGGGCACGAACATTTTTCTTGTAAAACAAAGGGGAGCCTAGCAAAAAAAAAGTCTGGGAACCACTGCTTTAATAAACAGGCAGCCTTAAAGTATGAAATATTCATATATTAACACATATTTGTCTGTTGTCTCAGTGGCTGATAGTGCCCCACAGACCTCAGTCTGAGCTTGAAGCCATTTGTCATTTTTAAGTTGTTTAATGTGTAGGTGTTCACAATAAACAGATTAAATGAAAGCCAGGGAACTTCAGTAGCACAAAAAAGTGGCCATTCTTTGTGCCCATATGGATCAGTGCCTCTTATCACCATTATTTCCTTAAGCCTTAAGTTGGCTAGTTAAGTATCAGGCTAATGTTTAAAGCTTTCACTTGAGTGAAGAAACTCACATTACTGCTACTGCCAAGTAATGTTAGCTAAGTTTACAGCATATTCCATAAATCAATGCCATAACTAACTACCTCACAGAGGAGAACTGCATCATACCAAATTCACAGCAGTGTAAGTGTCTGTGTTGGCTGACCTGTTGGCGCTGTCATCCAGTGTCCTCTCCAGCCACTGGACTGAGGCAGTCTGCAGGGGGTCGGCCATCAACGCAATCAGATGTCGGGCTAAGCTACAGCAGCGTTCTGCACGCATGGGGTTCCTCTTGTAGGGCATAGCACTGGAACCTGGAAGAGGAGCAGGCAAAGCTTTAGGCTGAGGCACAGTTTAACAAGTAAAAAGTGCTTTTGAATGAGCGAACGTACCAATCTGCTCCTTCTCAAAAGGTTCCTCGATCTCTTTTAGGTTGGCCAGCAGGCGGATGTCTGTGCAGATCTACAGCAGACGACAGTATAAAGTTTAGACTCAGTTACATCAGCTTTTTGAAAATCCTGAGCTCAAGACCCAAGTTTCTTTAATCAACACTAAATGTAGACATTTCCTCACCTTGTGCATAGAAGCTCCCAAACTAGCGAGCGTGGACAGGCAGTCTACGTCCACTTTGCGACTATATGTCTGTCCAGTCACCAGGTAGGCTCTGGATAAGAATGGAACAAATGAGTTATAGCCTGTGTTTCAAACTGTTCCTGCTTGGACCATGTTATAAAAA